GTCATGATCCCAGGGTCCTGGGATCGAGCCCCACACTGGGCTCCCTGCTCCACGGGAAGCCTGCTTCTCCCTCTCCCACTCCCCCTGCTTGTGTTCCCTCTCTGTGTCTCTGTGAAATAAATAAATAAAATCTTTAAAAAAAAAAAAAGAAAGATTGATTCACATTTCTGGAAAAAAAGAAAAATCACAAAATGCAAAATGCTAGCCTTTATATCTCATTTAATATATGATTAAAGAGGTATCCCAAATGAGAGGGACCAATATTCACTATCTTATGCTGAGGCAACTGTTAGCTTTTGTGAAGGAGAAAAAAAATGTAGGTCCTTACTTGATACTATAAACCAAAATAAATTTTAGGCAGATCAAGTATTTCAATTTTAAAATTTAGATATTAAAAATAATATAAAAATATAATTGAGGATGCCTGGGTGGCTCAGTCGGTTAAGCATCTGCCTTGGGCTCAGGTCATGATCTCAGGGTCCTGGTACCGAGCCCCGCATTAGGCTCCTTGCTCAGTGGGGAGCCTGCTTCTCCCTCAGCCTGCTGCTCGCCCTGCTTGTGTTCTCTCACTCACTTTATCTCAAATAAATAAATAAAATCTTTAAAAAAAAAAAAAAAAACCAAAGCTCAGAAAACGGAACCCTCCGGCAGCCCGGGGGTGGACAGAAGTCCTGTGGGATACACACGCGGGATCTCTTCTCAGACGGTTTCATATCTGCGCTCTCAGGCTGGGCCTCCCCTCCAGCCCTCAAAGGAGACAGTTGTGATAATGCTACAAGAGAAATGGCCCTCCCTGCAAAGGGCTCCTCTGAGCTCTATCTCACCAGAAAAGTCTGTAGGGGCTAGCTGAGGAGGCCAAGCCCAGGGCACTGGCAGGTTGCCTGTGAATGCTGACATTCTGGGAGGAAGTGACATTTGCATCCCATGGAGGGGAGTAACAGGACACCCTATTTACCGGTGAGCAACCTGGAGCCCAATCTCAGCCATACGTCCAGTTTCCAGAGGTTGAAGCAAGTTTCCTCAACCCCTCCCTAGAGGCTGATCTTCCAGGTGGGTGTGGGCCACCTCTGGACAGGTATTTTAGGAAGGCAAGAAAGGATCCTCTGCCTGCCCCCAAATACCCTTCAACCAGCTCCCTGCCTTCCATCCTACAATCAGAGCTCAAGATTAAAATGCAAACACACTCAGGGAGAAGGATAGGGTACAACATTTAATACTAAGGTACAAAAGGGTGAGTCCTTTCAAAAGATCAGCTTTTCTGGGGGCGAGGAGTTAGGGTCGAGGAAGGACTGGGAGAAGAGGGAGAGGGAGGGCTGCTCAGAGTACCTCAGCCTTTGCTTTGGATTCTTTTAAAACATTTCTGTCGGCATAGAGTCAAATGTGTCTTTAGGAGCTTCCACGAAGGCATCCTGCCCCTGACTGGGCTCAATATAAGAAAACCCCTGCAAAGGCTAGAATCACTCTCTGATTTGGCCCCCTTGGTATACCATTGCCTTTGCCTGCCTCGAGGACACCAAAGCCCCAAGCCTAGGAGACCCCCCCACTGGCCGCTGGATCAGATCAGTCCTTCACCGCTGAACCGTGAGTTCTTAAGAGCAACCAAAGTGGTTAAGTGGGGAAACCTGACCAGGCAGCCAAGCCACTTTTACCTGAAGCCACATGACCAGGGGCAGTTCTGAGAAGTTCTTGCAAGGGTTAGTGGCATAATAGAGCCACCAGAACATGTGGGCATCCTTGCGGATGGTCACATAATCCCATACTTCCTTTCCCTCCTCTGTGGGCTGGTCCGTGATTGCTCCTGAAACAGAAGCACAACGTGATTGTCCCAAAGAATGTGTAACGTCCAGGTAAATTCCAAGCCCGCAGAGACGGCCATGATAAACTGGAGATGATATGGTTTCTATTTTAGGCACTCTACTCACTCTAACATATTGTGGAGATAAGGAAAAGCACTTCGGTTATGATAAAGCAAACCAGGAGCGCCTGGGTGGCTCAGTCAGTTAAGCATCTGACTCTTGATCTCAGCTCAGGTCCTGATCTCAGGGGTGTGAGTTCAAGCCCTGCACTGGGCTCCATGCTGAGCACAGAGTCAGCTTGAGATTCTCTCCTTCTGCCCCTTCCACCCATTCTCTCTCTATAATAGATAAATAAATCTTTTTTTTTTTTTAAGATTTTATTTATTTATTTGAGAGAGAGAGAATGAGAGACAGAGAG